AGCCGACCCCCTCAGGTTCGAGTGGTCTGGAGGCTCCAGACGGAGTGGAGACTCCCCCCGGGGAGACGCCATCCGACTGGAATACCTCCAGAGGCACTCGCCAATTCTCGGCTTGAGGTCCTCTTAGGATCTCGCCGTCCCCAAACCCGGTGACGCTGTAAAGGTCATCTGCGACCAACAGCATACACACTCAAAAAAAAAACTGTTTTTATGTACTAAAAGTAGCAAGCAAGTACACCACATGGAAAGCCTACGATAGGGTACCTACCAATATCAATTTGAAACAATAAAACTAAACTGAAAACCGTACAAATATTTACCGATCGCAACAGTTTTGCTTATGCTAAATGCAAATAAACACTTATTTCAGCTGCTGGGTACTCAACTAAGGCGCCTTACTCACAGAAGTGGTACAGGCTCCTTTCATTTTAGTTTCTGTACAGATTCTGTACCGAGAACCACTTCAGCCTCTTTAGTATGAGCACCGCGATATGATAGCATGTTTTTATCACACTCAATTGTCAAATTTACTGAATGTTTGATAGTTAAACTCGATAAAAAAATGTGATAAAATGTGAATTGTGGTTCTCATGGTACGTACATGGTACATCGTTTTGTTTGCTACGATTTTGTTAGCGGGAGTGAAGGGACAGGCGAGTTCAATGGTACGGTAGCACTCGGCAGGACTCGGTATAAAGAGTTGTGTATAGAATCTGTACCGAAACTACTCAGTGAGGAAGCTTCCATTTACTAACATGCACTCGTTAAATGAGGAGCTCGATGGCGCAAGTGGTTAGCGCGTTCGGCTGCGATCGTTAAAGTTAAGCAACTTTCGCAGTGGTCGGTCATTGGATGTGTGACCAAACATTTACTATCTCGAGACCCTCCGTGCTCCGGAAGGCACGTTAAGCCGTTGGTCCCGGCTGCATCTGTGGTTGTCGTTAGCACCCACTAATCCGCACTGGGCCCGTGTGGTGGGTCATGGCTCAATCTCCATATTCCATCCATAGGGAAGGCCTGTGCCCCAGCAGTGGGGACATTAATAGGCTGATGATGATGATGATGACTCGTTAAATAATCGGTACAGATTTGTAAACGAAACGAGCCCGCACCGACGCAGTGGGGAAGGCGCCTTAGATACGTAATGTTGCAGTATAATCTACTATAGGTAAAGGTGTTGGGTTTGAATCCTCGATTCTTTTTATATCACGACCAGCAAATGATTTCACTGTACCCTAATCAAATATATGTTTAAATAAGATGTTTTCTACACATTCACTAAACAGTTTTTTTAGTGATGTTGTCTATTATATCTTTCGCTAACGCTATCGTAATGATTCTGCACTCTTAGTAGATTAGCAAAGACTTCATTACTGTTGCACAGATTTCACTCATAAAAATACATCCAGACAGCGTTTTGATTGTCCAAACATTAAATTTTGGTGAAGTGTAAATTACGTCTTATACGTGTTCATAGCACCTTCTTGATACGATTAGGTATCTAAGCCCTAAGCACGTAGTTAACGTTTAGTTAATAGCATATAAGATGTAGAATAAGTTAATAAAATGTTGATTCTCACACTGAACGCTCATCGTCATTGCTGTCGTGAATCATCCACGCCCTATCACCACAAAAACTTTGTTCACACAATAACTAACATTTCTATCACCCATGTCTATTAAAGATGTATCATACAAGTGACATTTAAATAATAAATAAAGATAGAAATATATTTGTAGGCACGTGGGTATTGCCAGGATTGCCGGTGCCCTCCATTGGTGCTTAGAGGTGGCGTGGATTAACGGGCGAGGAGAAATAATCCAATATCAAAGAATAATCACCGATATATTTCACTGTTACAATTTAAGAACTATGCACTCACTAATTCTTGAAATCAAAGTACAATTATAAAGATAACTTAACGCACAATTATAAAATCAAGACGTTCCGCAGAAAGCTTGGCAAATGCACCGGGTGCAAACCGATTATGATCGGAGAACGCGCGGGCGCTATGTGACCAGCCAACTGAGTTACGTCAATCGAGCTGTCACTGAACTGTCAGTGACATTCGATTCACTATTGATTCACTATGATTCATAGACTATGCCCGAAGATAACACCAAGACAACAACGATAAATACCGAGGCGCCGTCATATTAAAATATGTAGAGAATTCACAACTAAAACATACAAAATCTACATCGGTTAATCGTTCAACGAACTTATCGAAGTTTAAATAAACAGTGTTCCAAATTCAAAATTATTCCAGCTGGTGCTAGGGCACCGCAGGTTACAGAACTATAGAATAAACAAAGCTCTGTTTACATAGACAAGTCACCACCGGCACAGATGCCAATGTTGTAGCAAGTTCTAGGTGTGTTACGTAAACTGGACTTGGGCTGCGTTTGTTTGCTTGCAAGTTAGTATGTTGGTGCCGCGGACCTCTGTTTGGTGTTTAACTATACTAAGTACACCCACGCATTTTTGTGAGTAAATACTCTATCTCTCTTATTAAATAAAACAAGTTTCAACGGTATAGATGCACTGATTTTATTAATTTATTGACCGACGCATATGTAAAATCAATAAATAAATAAAATCAGTGCATCTATACTGTTGAAACGTGTTTTATTTAATGAGTGATGTGCGTGAAAACCTAAGAAACAAACTAAAGCCCGTATTACAGGATGACAACTATGTGTTGATCTTTACTTGAGTACACTTAGAAAGGAATGCCGCTATGTGCTAGATACAGCGCCATCCCTTTCTAACTATGCTCAAGACTAGATTCATTACTGATAATCTTTCTGTAATACGGGCCTTAATCTCTTATGTTTGGAATTTGGAATAATTAAAATAGTTTTTTTTTTCAGAAACTTTCTTTTATCATATAACTTGAAAGAAATTGTGAATACCCAATATAACCGCGTCATTAAGTCTATACTTAAGTTTCACTATAGTAAATGTCACATCAAATACATAACAAACAAACAAGCAAAATCGTTAATTCAGCACAGTACACGGATACAGGTAAATTGTTATAGTTAAAACTTACAAAATGACTGATACCACTCCGTATCCACGGCTGCGCTGAAAAGGGCCCAGTTCAGCAAAATGTCAGTGCAGTATGCACTGGCGCTGGTTTTCAACTGGGTCCTTTATCTGACAAGTGGATGCCAAACACTAACGAATTTTATATGCATAATTATATAATTTAAAAGAAAATACATCGTTCCATGTACCAAGTGTAAAATTGTCAAATGCATAGTACCCTATTTATTTTTTATTTACACATTTTATACACACACAATAAATATGTGCAAAATTTTGACAAATGATTATTTTTTCTCGAGTATTTTAACTAAGTATAGTCAAATTTAACCATGGATGAAACAAAGCCGTCGTAGGTGCTTCCAGGTATGAAATTTGGGCCAGAATATCCATTGTACATTTTAGCTTTAACTTTTGAGTATGCACGAATAATCCCGACTTTTCAACACCTTTTCAACAACATACAGTGCGTGGACAGGATATGACACTCAGGGTATACGTGCGTGTAGTTTTGGCGTCCCAAAACAAGAGGTACAAACCCTTTGTAATTTTTAATATACCTCCGTACGTTGAACATAATGAAGGATGTAGTAAAAATGTACTGAATTGTTTAATTATAAATAAATAAATGAATAAATAAATGTTTCCAACACTCCCACCAATTAGCCTGGCCCCAAAGTAAGCAGTGTAAGGCTTGTGTTATGGGGTTCAAGGGTAACGGATAGAATACATATACTGTACATATATAAGCATATTTATACAGAAATACATATTAAATATCATGACAGAAGTACAAAGGCTCGTATTCATCAAACAAACATCTGCCCCCACCGGGATTCGAACCAGAGTTGGCGACACCATGAAACCCGGCGTACAAACCACTCGGCCACGGAGGTCGCCAATATTTTTATTTTAAAGATTGTAACATGGATGAACTGCAGAAATTTTTGAGTAAGTAATTTTTACACTTGTTTATGCAAATTAATCGGAGTCACGTCTGCCCTCAGCGATTTAGTTGACTAGCTCTCATACCTGATGGTCTTAAGAGTGTACGACTGTTCCGTAGTTTCTTACACCATATTCAATCACTGATTTCACGGCGGACGGTTTCGTTTCGTTGTTTTTTTTATATATATAAATAGGTCCGACAAATGACTCCACCCGACCTGATTTTAAGTAACGGTGAAGTCCAGACGTGAAGATAGATGTTTTTATATTTCTTAATGACATCAGTATTGAAAGAAGTTATTTCATTATTTAAGCTTTCCCATCGAGCATGAAAGTTGGAGGGTAACTTGGCGAAGGCTGAAACGCTACGAGCGCCACACGCGACAATATATATAGATATACATATATATGAGTGATGCATATGCTGCTCCATTTCCCTATACCTTATGCATCACCGAATGTTAGGTTGTTTAAGAAAAAAAGTTTCACTTCAGATGTGTACACTATTTTTTTTTATAATTAGAAATCTTCTAATTTTTAAATTAAATTTGTTTTCCCTTATATAATGATTATCGTAACGATTATACATAAACATGGGTATGCGGTCATTCCTCTCACCAGAAAGGTATTAACGCGCATTAAAATCTCTTGATGGCAACCCTCGTTGGCCGGAAAGGGTGACCACATTAAAAACATTAGGATTTACCTTCGTTGCGTGTGTCATAATTTTAACCAATATGATGACCTATGGTTTTAAAAGTTGTGTTCCACAAAAGCAAAGGTTGTTCATTTATCAATAAAAAAGAGACAAATTTATAATGTTGCTATAAGTACTGCACCAATAGAGTTCTTCTGAGGAGTTACTCAAACAACAGCAACATATATATTTAAGACAAAGGTTTGCATGTATAATACATGTCCGAGAACAAAACTATAGACTTCGGAGTGAAGCAGAGTTACTATCTAAATTACCAAAATATATAAATATATGTATACTCACGTTTCGCAGTGATTCCTTGTGTCATGAAGAGTACAGCCAAAATGGTAACCGCAAAACAGACTTGGGCCATTTTTTTACTAAAAACAAAAGAAATCTTCAATTAGAAACCATATCAAAGTCCATAGACTAAATAGAAGCAGTGGAGAAGCGGTCGATAGTTTTTTTTTATTATCTCTTATCTATTAGACAAGTCCGTCCGTCTGTCTGTCTGTGGTGCTGTTTCAGCGACCAAACCGTAAGAGATAGATAAAGAGAATATTTAAGTTATAAGTTAAGAATAGTCTGATAAGACTACAAACCGGATTTGAGTAACGTTGCACTTCTGGTTTTCGAGAAATCACGAATTTCAAACGAAACCACACAAAATCTCCGAAGTTCTCAATTAATTAAATACATTTTTTTTTAAATCAGGTTTTGGTGAACATTTGGTTCACTGGTTTAGAAATAAGAGTAGACGAGCTCGATGGCGGAAGTGGTTAGCGCGTTCGGCTGCGATCGTCGTAGTTAAGCAACTTTCCGCAGTGGTCGTTCATTGGATGGTTGACCAAAAATTTACTATCTCGAATTCCTTCGTGCGTTCAGAAGGCATGTTAAGCAGCTGGTCCCGGCTGCATCTGCAGTCATTAGCACCCACCAATCCGCACTGGGCCCGCATAATTGCTGTTGGCTCAATTTCCCTATCCTTCTATACTAGGGAAGGATGTGCCCCAGCAGTGGGAACATTAATAGGCTGATGATGATGATTTTAAAGAAACCTCTAAAATCCTGCATTTGGAGTATAATTTAAAATTACAATACAACTCACAACAACTTGCTTATTGTAAGGTTTTGGCGGCATTTCAGCTCTATTAAATGTTTGGCACAAAATTACTTATAGGTTTTTTAAATATGCTTTTTCTAGGAAAAGCTTTTTATGGACACAAAAATCAAGCATTGCTTAAAATATAATGGTTTTAAAAAAACTGTTACATAATAGTTATTTTTATTATTTAAAGCATTAAACTGTTAGATTATTAGGTATATTATTTATATATATGTCCGACAAATGACTCCACCCCACCTGATGTTAAGTGAAGGTGAAGTCCAGACGCGAAAATAGCTGATACAGCAGTTCTACCTGCATATATTGTCTTGGTGCTAAATACCCTAGTACTTCCCTATTATGTTTCAGATTTCAGTAAGACATATATCTGATACATTCATAAGTTGTTACCTCCTAACACAAAAGCTTAGTTCACAAAACTGAGCATAAACAATACCAGTTTCTACTTTTTTGACAAACACGCAAGAAGTTCGTTTATTTATATATAAGTAGGTACACTAGAAATTTCCACATTTCAATATCACCTTTGATTTTCTTTTTGGATTTAGGAAAACAAAAACACACTCTTACATTCAACGATATCAAAAGGAAACAATTGAATTAAATCACCGCTTTTGTTCGCCTATTCATCATAATTATGAGAAATCGTACGCAATTTTTGGCGACTTTTGTAGCTTCTGACTGTTGTTACTATGGAAAAAACAGTGCTTTTTATAATTCAACAATGGATTCTGTGTCCTCCGTGTCGTTTACTGATTTAATTCGATGTTGTGCTCGACCATGAAATTGCCTAAAAATAGTTGTCTAAAAGTACGCTTTATACCTCATCGGATGTAGACATCCTCTAAATATATATTATAAAAGAAAAAATTGACTGACTGACTGACTGACATACCAACGTTCAGGTCTAACCGCTGGATCTAGAGACTTAGGAAGACTTCAAAATTTACCCCCGAAGGGTTGAAACTAGGGAATCAACTTATCTTAAATTTGTACTAAAGACCTGTAACCCAAGCACGAACCATTATCGAATTCGAATAGTTTGCGAGTGCTAAATGTCAACATCAAATTTTGTAATGAGACTTAAACAACAGCAGCGCCACAAAGTACGTAACGAGAACTAAAAGTCAGTACACATTTGACAATGACATTACGAACTCGCAAACGTTACGAATTTGATATTGGTTCGTGCTAAGGGTCCTGAAATAAATAAAAACGTGTATTGAGGTTTTTCGTAAATCTACTACCCCTTCGAAGTTAAAAAGGGTATAAAAGTTTTCATGAAAAATCTTATTCTTTGAATCAATATACTGGCCTGCAAAAGTATCACATTTAAAAAAAAACTAAACCATAGCAGTATATTTTAAATCTGTATTTAAAATAATAAAAAAAATCAGCTTTCTTTGATACTGTAGTACAAAATTAAACTCTTTTTCGTATATACTTATAAGTATTATACTTAATTTTGCAGACCAATGTAGATTAAAAAACTTGGTACAAATACTTTACTTATCTAAATAAATAATCCTAAAAATGGAGGGTACTGAAGTTATTATATGGATATAAATTTTAGCGCGCATTTCGATTAACTCTAAGCTTAGAAATTTATACTTGTGACCTGAAATAAAGAATAACAACTCAGGGTTCTTTGAAACTCTATCCCTAATGCGGTGAAAAGGGGTAGTAAATTTTACTGGGGAGGTTTTTAACTCCAAGGATTGACATACTCAGTAAATGGCCGAAAGAACTTGGATAAAACTTGGCATACGTATAGTTTATTGCCTGGATTGATACAAACGATAATTCATATCCCGACAAAACGTTAGGTTCCTAAGAGATTCTCAAAAATCTAAAGTTAACGTGGACGAAGTTACAGGCGGCCGCTTGTTTTTTATAATTCTCTTCGTAGACTGTATTAGCTTATGACATTTCGCCTGTACTGTCCCAATGTAGTTATGTGTTGTAGGTGCAATATGTTTTTGAAGTGATAACTTCTTATGGCTGGGTAAACTACTTCGTTACGTAACGCGTTACGGCGCCAGTCTGATTTCCCTTCCTTTCTCGCATACGGCAGCGGTAGGCAGGCTCCTCCTCTCTCACTCTAACCCAGTGTTGCCAGCTCCGATTTTGAAAAATCGGGAGGCGTTATAAAAACGCAGAAGATTTATGGAAAGAGCTTCAAGAAAAAACAGTAGATGAGAGGCATACTTTTTCCCATTTGCATAGAATTGGTAAATGAAATCAAGATATAGGCAAGTAACGAATGTATTTCTGTGGCTTCTGTCGCTCCTCAAAGCTCGTCTTTTTTTTAAGACTATAACATTTATTTTATAATAATTTAAGTTACCGACATTATTAATGGCGGAAAATGCAACTCAACATGCAATTTAAAAAAGAAAATCGTATTCTAAGTATCGCCGCACACGGGCCACACGCCACAGCCACAAACGCCGCCACGAGAAGCTAGAAGCGGCGACTAAAATGGCTGAAGCGACACAGCGGCCGACTAAGGTAAGGGAGAGAGGGGTGGGGAATCACGCGAGTGACGTGTGGCGGCGTTTTGTATCGGCGCATTAAATGGCCGGTGCGGATCACAAGAAGCGAGCAACGACGATTTGTAGCGTGTGGCGGCCACCGGCGTACCGTATGTGGCAAGTCCATATTAAATGTATGAAAACTACAAGAAATATGCCGATGGCGGCGTTTTGAGGTTGTGGTCGGCGGCCCGTGTGCGGCGACACTTTTAGAAAAAAGCAGAAGATGTATGGAAAGAGCTTCAAGAAAAACAGTAGATGCAGAAGCGTACTTTATCCGATTCGCATAGAATTGGTAAATGAAATCAAGATATAGGCCAGTAACGAATGTGTTTCTGTGGTTTCTGCCACTCCTCAAAGCTCGTCTTTTTTTTAAGGCAATAACATTTATTTTATAATAATTAAAGATTATATTATTAATGGCGGAAAATGCAACCCTACATGCAATTTAAAAATCGGTTGTCTGTAAAGTCGGTTTAATGACGATAGTTGAACGTTACAACGTGTTTTTACAATGTACATAGTTCAATTCGTGACAAATCAGATGTCGAACGCTGCCGAACGCGGAGGCCGATTGTGTCTCTTTGTCGCGCGCTGCGCACTCTTGCTTGCACTTCAAGCCTTAAATGGAACGCCTCAGAGCGAGGTAACGCGGCATAAGTCATGTTTTTTCGTGCGTGCAACCGGCTCCAACGAATTATAAGACGTTGTCACGTCGAAAAGAAAATCGTATTCTGAGAAAAACAGCTGATTCATGTAGAAAAACAGTAGAACAGGAGAAATTTCAAAAAAATAGGAGATCTTCTGTAACATCGGGAGACCAGGGGGCCAATCGCCTAACGGAAATGCTTTGGAAAACGCTAACGCTTACGATTTAATTTTGTTATTTCTAGCCGCCTGAGGTATTCAAATGCCTCGCGCTCTTTCTTTTTCTTTTGCATTGGTAATAACAATATTAAACAAAATGAGCGTGAGGTATTCGAAAACCTCAGGCGGCTAGAAATAACAATATAAAATCGTAAGCGTTAGCGTTTCCCAAAGCATTTCCGTTAGGCGATTGGCCCCCTGGCAACAGTGCTCTAACCCGCAGCGCCGCTAAGATGAGTTTAAGTTATCACTTCGGTCTTGCGTCCCGAGACGCATACGGTTTTTTTTATTTTCCCGAGTATTTTCACTATTGTCTTAATTATGTTTCATACAAGACGGCCTAAACCTCTTCCTGCATCATTTTTTTCTATCAGCGTTCATCTATCACTTTTGTCGTCCACTGACAGACAGCTTGAATGCAATTGTGTTTGGTGCGAGCATTGCGACGCATCCAGAGAATACAATGTCACATAAACTTCTGTAAAGTACTGTCACAACGACAGAGATAGTTACCGCGCCCTATCAATGGAAACACTTAACAGAAGATAGGTACTAACGACCAAATTTATTCCTGCCCCATATGCCCGATAATTCTGCAAGACGTTACAAATGTCAAAACAGACAAGCTTGATTTAAAGAAAATGAGTATTTGCACTTAGAACCTTCTAATAACACGAAAAAAGATCTTACAAATTTGATCTTTTTTCTCGATGCAATAGATTAATCATTGGTGTCGATTCTAGCATGATTCTCTAAACCTAAACTTAAATTTGACAGTATATCCTTGTCATTCTCTATACAGAATGAAAAGGAGAGACTGGTGTTAAATTTAGTTTTAAGTTTAGAGAATCAT